CTGAGTTATCTGTGGTTGGAACACCTTCCAGAAGAATATTGTTGGATTTTAGGTCCCGATGTGCCACAGTATAATTGCTTAAGTGAAGGATACCTTCCAGCAATTGAGCTAAGAGCATAGTACGCACTTTCATTGATGGATTATAAGTAGAGAGATAATCTTTCAAAGTCATCTCATATCTGGAGAGAGAGAGAGAGAGAGAGAGATGGATTAACATGCAGTGTCACAATGCTGAACATCAAACAATTAGGAAGAAAGAAAGGAAAAAAAATAAACTGAAAATCAAAATAAGTCTGAAGAATGAATGTATTTATTTACCGTTTCATAACGAGACACAAGGTCATATTGCGCCCAAAGCTGTTTGGATAACGGTCCCGTGGTAGTGCACACTCAAAGTGTTGCATTGCTTCATCTAGATCAGGTATGGCACCAGGGAATACATTGTACATTGTTACAATGTTGTGATGAGAAGGGAGTTTCTTCTTCACATGACTTTTTGAGGAAGAGAATGAAAAAAAAAGAAAAAAAAAGATACATTAATAAGGCAATGCATATATACAAAGATATAAGAAATAGAATTTGGAAAGAAAATGTGAATCATTAACAATTACTAAAGATGAACTGATCATAATAAAAGACACCTTCTCCAATGTTTCATCTATTGTGCCCTCTGACCTTCATTAGATGTTTTTCAATCATCAGCAAATTTTAAACTGAACCCTTTATTTAATCAACAGGTGTAGATTGTTTTTGTTATGCTGACCATATTTAGGGATATCTCATCTTGTTCTTCTTTCAAAACATGAATATTATTACGTTATTTACATGCAGACTGTTATAATAACAACAAAGATAAAGACAACAATGTTTCAGCTGACCTTCATCAGCTGCTTCTTAATCCAGGTAACCTTCAGGGAATTTCAAACAGCCCTTTACTTAACCTTCATCAACGCTAATTTCTTTCTAGAATTATTCCCCCTGCCACTGCATATTTTTCGAGGGTGCAAAAACATGAACAGCTACTGTTTTAAAATTGTTATACCTTTCTTTGTATTGTGCATATAGATTTTAATTTCTGTACACTAATAACAAAAATGAATGAGTATTAATTTTAATGTAATGCATTACACTTTGCATGCAAGTTTTGATGCTGAAAACAAAAAAAATTGAAATGTGAAATGAAAAACACGAAATAAAAAACAGATACATTAAAAAATACATAAATAATTCAACGTACTTTAACTTTTATTACTCCTTGTGGAGTTCTGGGGGTGCAATAAGAAGCAAAATCGCTAAGAAGGCTTTCATTTTGTCAAAAATGTGACATTTTTCTTTGTGTTTACATATGAGAAGACAATAGCATTTGTTTGCTCTTTCTTTCACCTGACTTATATTTGTCTCGTGGACAAATAAACTTATTATTTTGTCATTTATAAATAGACAAAATAATTCACCTTCAGAAAGGCTATCAGGTATATCAATGGTCACCAGTAGCTTCCATAAAATAGTCAAGCATGGATGATAGTAGCTGCTAGTCGTCATCATCGCTTTCCTCCACATCACTAGCATGGTTACCATCTTTGACCACTGCACCATCAATATCTACTTGGGTAAAGCCTTTGAAGTCATCATTGGAGTCCTAATCAAAGGAAAAATCCTGAATAAAGGCTTTGTTGGATATTGATGCAACCATTTTTGTTTACAAAAATTCATAAAGAAATTAATGTGGGTTTAATCAATGTTACATCTCATGTAGAGTCTAGAAGAATTCAAAATGGCATTGGAAAATGGAAGTTTAACCTTCTTCCAAAGCAGTAGTAGCCAATTTCCAGATTAAAATACTGGAAATAACAGTTGACAATTGTTTATTTATAGCAAATGGCTCAAGGTGACAGAATGCACCCAGAGTAGCAAAGTGATAGAATTCTATGGCGAAAACCAAAAAAAAGAGGTAAAGGTTAATATACAGAACTTGGAGCCTTAAACCTAACCTGCCTGCTGAGGAGTGCTGCTGCTGCTTGTCAGGATTGACTGCATTCACTGAAACTTTTTTCTTTCTACTGTAGTTGCAGCTACAATTGTTGAAGCTTTGCTACCACTCTCTTTATTTATTAACATCACTCATATAAGGAGGTTCTCATAAGTTAGTATAAGCACTGATTGTTTTAGAATCGCCAGTGTCCAGCATTTTTTATTCATCGGACAGGTGTTAATGACTACCCTGCTCCCTCTATACATGATCAAAAATGCCCGATTTCATTGTCTCACCCCTAATTTGATATTCTTCAATACCTTACTTTTTGTGGGCAGCTATTTTCACCTTTATATTCCTTGCCATAACAGCATGGAATAGAATACCCACAGCTTTTGGTCATGTTCTTCCCTGTGTTAGTCTCGACTCAGCACAGATTTCTCCATCGGGTGGAGTTGCTTCTGAATATTGTCCAGATGTTGTATGGACTGCAGATTTGAATTTTTTTCTGTAAGGAAAACAAACCATGGTGGCTTTCTGATGCTACCTGCAGAAGTTGATGTTATGTTTGCAGGGTAGTTGTTATTCTGAAGGGTAATGTTCAAGGCTCTGATCATTTCCTGTTGGTATGTCTAGTTTGCCACTTATAATATTTGCACAATGTTCTACACACATTAGATGATCCTTTTCTTTACACTTTCTGGTTGATGAGAATTGAAATTAAGCTATTGTCTAGTGAAGGTTGGATTTTGAGATATAGATATCTCTGACTCATCCCCTATGAGTTACTAGTACATTCAGAAAGGCTAGCTGATGATTTTCTTCCATTGTGAACTGGAATTGAAAGTCTTATCACGTTCACATGGTCCACAGTATTTGTACAGCTTCCTGTTGAGGCCAGAGTCTGAAGGTGTTATCTATGTATCTCAGACATATTGTTGACTTCAATGGCACTGTTCCTAAAGCCATTTCCTCAAAGTATTCTATGTATATGTTTTCCATCATTGGTGACAATGGTTAACTCATACCAAAGCCTTTTTCCTGTTGGTTTATGCCAGACTGTAGTTAATGTTGTCTGTACACAGGATGTCGATATTTCCATCAGGTTATCTATTGGGATACTAATATATTCTCCAAGAGAGGAGGCTGATTCTAATAAGTTTCAAATCACCAAAATAACCTCATTAATATGAACTCTGGTGAACAAAGTCACCAAATCCAATCTTACCATCTGACTGATATGTCTGGGAGACGCTCGGTCCTGTTAATGAGTTGGCCATATTCACATCTACTTAGTAGGTGGCATGCCAAACCCCTACAGCTGACTATAGGTCTCAATGGGATATCAAATGTGCGAATCTTAGCGAGACCATACATGTGTGACAACTTGGTGTAATGTGGAGTCAACTGTGTGTCTATACTTATTCAGTGTGAAGTAGTCATTATTCTTATTTTGGATCTGTCTTAGTTTCATCTTCTGTTTTAAGGTCAGATCTTTTTATCATCTTGCTATTGCTACCATCCTCAACGAGGCTTGCCAGTTTCTCAGAGTATTCCAACTTGTCCTTCACTGAAGCCTTACTTTTGTCAACCGGCAGTATGATGATACTAGGGTCACTCTGCAAAGTCTTGACTGTCAACCTTTCTTCCCTTGTGATGTTTGATTTAAGGTGGTTTTCCCTTTTCTAATATTTGTCTCATTTTCTATCTTACCTCATCTGCTTGAATTTTGGTGATCTTCAAGACAACCTACTCAACTGGAGCACTTACCTTATCTAAGTATGGGACATGCCTGATAGTTACGGCAAAGTTGATATCATTTTGTTTAGCACAGATTCCTCAGTGGCATTCAACTGGCAGTTGCTCTTACCAAACTGTGTGAAGTCTTGTTGCTACTTCTACTGTTCCTTAATTTGTGCATGTTTCCATATTTTGCAAAACTTGGCCCTACTTTATTGCCAAGATTTTATTATACAAACTGAAAAAAAAAGAAAAAAGAAAAAAAAATGGATGATGAGAAAGAACTCACTCAGTCAGCCAGCTATAGAGCTGTTCTTGACCACCAACCAGTTTAGTGGGTAGAGCTTCATTCCAGAACATTTTCAAAATTTGAGAATAGTTGGATTCCACATCATAGTTGAATAAATACTTTATGACAACTTCTGGAGATTGAGAAACTTGCAAAGTGTCAATATCAGCTGAAAAGAAAAAAAAATGCGTCAACACAATAATGAAGGTTTCTTGGAAATCAATACAATGTGTGAATGTGGCAGATGTTAGGGTTAGGGTCAGATGTTTTTGATTGCTGGAAAATTTTTTTAAGTTTTTGAATTTTTACAAGACTCTTTATTATCTTCATAAAACAATGAATGCCAAAAACCAACAGCATCATATAGTTCTTGATATTTAAAAAGAAAAAGATAATTGAATTTTTTTCAGTACACATTTTACGAATAGAGTCAATGAGCATTTGAAAGTAAAACAGTCACAATAAAATATGAAGCCATAAGAAACAATTTTCAATTCAGTGAATGAAAGAAAGTGAAGAGCACTTTAGAAAATGAGAGAAAATACAAAAACCTTTACCTTTATTTTCTTCATCGGTTGACTCTTCCTCTGATTTTTCAAAATACTCAGAAACAGCTTGAGGAAGTGGTCCTTCAACAGGCTGAACTTTTAATTTAAAGAAAAAGAAAAAAAAACAAAAAACAGAGGTAGATAAAGGGTAAATTCAGATATGAGAAGAGAAATTGTAAAATGGTAAATAATATATATTGTAATAAATATTGTATTACAGACAGAAATTCAATGTAAATTAGCAAAAATATTAGATGCAATATTGAAGTAGAACAGAGAAATTGATTTGTATTTTGAAAAGTGATATTTTGTGAGCCATTAAGCAAATTCTTGAACCAGAAAGGAATTATTAAAGGATGAAATTCAATTAAATGAGAAACTAAATAAAAAGACATGTCCTAAATGAATGAATATATTGATCATCCTGATAAGTACTTCTAATGGGTGGCCATTAGAAATATGGATGTTATTGTAGATTCAATAGTGATAGGTTGAAGTCCTGTTGTACAGTAGCTGAACCCAATCACAAGATGAACTGGTTTAAGACTATTTAAACATCACTCTCTCTTACTGAGGGAGAAGAATTAACAATTAAGTGTTTATTACATTAGTCTGTGTTCTCAACTGTGTACCATATTATTCTTGGGAATAAACTACTTCATATTTTCTAAATGTGTGTCAACCTTTCCTATTTACAGGTCCTCAACTGAAAGATAAAGTTATCATGTTTCTTTGTTTTGAAAGTGTATATTCCTTATCCACATGAGTTTGGTTAATAAGCTTTTAGGTATTCTGCTGGACTTAAGTGAGATTGATACACAGAACCAAAAATTCATTTAAATTGCATATAAAAGTTAATCATTATCACTTTGTATGTCTACTTCATTTGCTGTACAAAAAGTTTATTCTGCTACTGAAGGTGACTGATCCAAGAACAATAGTGTGTTTGAATTTCATAGTTGTGTTGTCATATTTTGCTATAACATCTTTGAGTGAAATTAACAATAAGGTTACTGCAATTGAGAGGCCTTGAAAAAGAGTGCAGTGGAAAGGGAAGTAATATTAATAATAATGTAAAGTATTAAAGGTTAATTCAATTTTCATAATGTTTCATTATAAAGGAAATCACTCAATGCTTGAAATCCCAGTAAAGTTCCACTTGATTGTGACTAGATTCTACAAATTAAAACTAAAAACAACAAGCAATTGAAGAATTTTATTTTTTATAAAAGCAAAGAGAAAAATCCTCTCGGGTTTGAAATGCACTAAATTGGAAAAATTAAAAATAACAAAATATGCTTTTCAAAACGTAGCTTTATTTGTTAAATTATATTTTAGACTTTGATGGATAAAAAGAGAATTATATTCATGGCAACCTTTTTAAAACAGATATTTAAAAAAATTTCATTAACTGAAAAAAAAAAATTCTTCCATGTTTGCTTGCACATGAAATATTATTAAACAACAGTATTTTAATAATGATAATAAATTCAATCACTAATCACCTGCTGTAGTTTTAATAAATTCTTTTTGTTAAGAAGATATGAATCTAATATAGATGGTGGCAGTTTTATAAAAACTAGACAATTTTTCTTTGACATTTGCAACTAGTCAGCATGATTGTAAAAACATTTCTTGACCAGTAGTGACAGATATTTATAATTTTATACCCTGTTAAAGATTGGAAGATGCAACTAATTTTACTTTCAGATTTTTCAGCATTTGCATTCATTATGCAAATATCTGACCTGACATTGTGTTGTATTATATGAAATCAGAAAATAACAAGTATCTTTTTAATAAGCCAAACAAAAACTTTCAATTAATTTTAATTTTAAAAATTATCTATATATGAAGAATTACTAAAATTTCTTTTCCAATTAAATATGAATAAATTTGTCCCATATAACCCTTTTTTCATCTTGGAAAGGGATTTTAAATGAATGTTGATTATTTTTAATCTCCAAGATTATACATATGATAGTATTATTCTGTTACGAATGATTGATTTAGGTTGATCCAAACAGGAACATCTTACCTCTTGATATTTCGACTGCAGATGTACTGAAGCTGGTTCGAGTTCTTAATGGTCCACGGAAACAAAATGGAATCTCTACTTAAAGAAAGGAAAAAAAAAAATTCAAGTTCCATTTGAGAAATGAATAATCCTTTAAATTAAACAGAAGCAGAAAATAAATAACTAAATATTTGTGAAACTATTTTGGTTTTATTGACAAAAAAAAGGAGAAATGAGAAGCTGCTTGATAAAAGATGGATAGAAATTATTGATGTCATGGAAAAAATAACATACAAAAAAAAGGTACTAAAAGGCATAAAAGAAACCATGAAACAGGAGGATTGTATATGTCTATATTTCTGAGATGAGGTATTATGATTACTTGCATTATTTACATTACTCAGATTGCTATCCTCATCTTCATTACTATATTCACAACATGTTGGCTGTTGTACACTCCGGCCTTCTCTAAACATCAAGCAAAAGTCATAAATGGTGACATATGAACAAGAAATGGTCAGTATAAGCAGTACCCTACAATTAACAACTACCTTGGGTAGATGGCAGCAGCTCTGACAAACTGGAATAAAAGGGTACAAGAGGATAACATACTCAGAAAAGAGCTTCAACCTTCTTACCCTATGTGAAGGGATTATCGGAGAAAATAGAAAAGATCTGTGGTCCATATAATATCAGGACAACCTTCAAAAGTGGTTCAACACTTTGCAGACACCTCTTCCAATTAAGACCCCTTATCAAGGAGAACATGACTATAGGACTGTTTGTACGCCATCCCATGCATCTGTGGTAAGAAATACAAAGGAAAAACAGTCCCCCCCCCTTAAGGTAAGACTACAAGAACACTGTAAAGTGGTAACATGAGGGGAAATAGAAAAATCAGGTGTAGCTGAGCACATATGGAGGGAAAAGGGAGATCACCACCTCTGTAGGATGAGGTTGAAATAATAGACATAGAGCATTATTGAATATAGCGAAAAAAAAAAAGGAATCGGCACATATGCTAGGCCACAAAAATCTCCTGAGCTGACCAAGCATAGAAATACAATATGGAAACCAGTAATAAGGAGTGCTAGAGAAAAGCAATGAATAACAGAAAAAATTGCAATATGAGCACCGGTAAAAATTGTCTGCGACATTAGGTTTATAAGTCCCCAAAATTCATCAAGGACACATGGCACAGTGGATAAAGGCGTTGGTTAGATCCAGTAACAGGACCCAAGGAGTGTGAGTTCAATAGTCGGTTAAGGCAGTGGAGAACATTCAGAGGGAAATTAGCAGGAGATAACCGATAACTGACATCCATCAAAACATGGCACGTGGAACTAGTGAACGAAATAAAGGGTTCAGTTCGAAATTCCAACCACCTGAAGAAGGCTGGAGCATACAACGGCCGAAACGTTGTGATAAATATGGCGACAAAGATGACAATAGTCCGAATAATGTAAATAATGGACAAAAAGATTTTCAGCAAATTTAAAACAAGGACAGAAGAAATTTTCAGGGGGTTAAAGAAAAAAACTTTTCTTTTGGCAATAACAAACGATAAAATAAAATGGAAAAATAAACTAAATAAAAACAACTGTAAATACAACCAATCAGCAAGAATTACTTGACTGTTCTCTGCAATATTTTTAAATAAAACTTGACTAAGTTAATAGTTAAACCAACTTTAACTAAAACTTTGCCATCATCATTTCAATTTTATAAATTTTATTTTTATGTGAAATTATTCTCTAGATAATTGATATTTCGCATAAAGTTATGTGATTTAATAACAAAATTTGAAGATACCCTTAGGACTTGATTTTAGTAATCTATTTTGATCTGTAAAATGTGAATCTACCTACCTGTATTACAGGTGTTTTCATCAAATTCAGATTCGCTTATGATGGAAATGTCATCATCTGACCATTCAGCAGAACCTAATACCAAAAATGAAATGATCAATTATTCTCCATAAAGAAACATTTATTGATTGCTAGTCTCAAAGCAGACTAGTTACTGTAAAAGTTAAATTGGAAGAAGAAACAATATATTTTTTATTTTTTAAGTCCGAGGAGGAAAAGAATAAATTAGGAAAAATTGTGTTCTAATGTGCTTTTAATCAATTGCATTTCTTTAAAGATTATAGTGAACAAAATGTAATTTAGGGAATAATTCCTCCTGTCTAGATGATTAAAAGGGACATTTTATTAATTATGATTGAAAAAACTGCTTTAAAAAAGGTAAAGGTAAATTTAATTTTACCTTCAGATTGTGAGTTAAGCTTGAAATCAACCAATGAATCAGAATCCATAAATTCCCAGGTATGAACTGAAAAGAAAAGTAACAATTAATAATGACCAAAATTAAAACAAACTATGTGGGGTAGAATTGGGTGGTGGTGGTGGTGGTGTGTAGTTTCCATATAGCAAGGGACACTATTTCTTTGAATGTAATATTCTACAAGAGTGTTTTTATGGCATCTCATACTAATGGAAGAGAAACTCTTTTAAAAAAAAAAAACAAAAAAACTTCTCTCTAACTTATATTGTTTGGGCAAATGAAACCTTTTCTTCATAAAATTGCTGATGTTAATGCAATATATTAGCCAATACATTTTTCAACACTCAAAAAGTTTCATAATTATTTCCCCCTTCATAAATTACACCTGCATCATGGATTGATTAAAAGATTCCCTAGCACCCCCCCCACTGTCACAGTCAGTATGTAAAAATGGTTCAGTTGTCAATGACTTCTAATAGTTAAAAGCTATAAACAAAAATACTCTATTCTCAAGGATAAAACATTTTGATAAAGAAATGTAAAGACATAATAAAATTTCTGGGAAAACAAATTTTAAATTTAGCTTAAATTTATTCTATTAAACTTAAAAAAGATTGCTAGAATTATTTGATTCGTACATTTGATTTCAAGTTAATATTCACAAACACTTCATTTTTATCACTTTAACTGTAAATGAACTGGAACCCCAGCCAATGGTTTGGGGGATTTTGTGAAACTGAGGAGAAAATTTTATAGTAACAGAAAATCTGGAGAAAGCGAATAAATTTTATACAAACGTGAATTTACATAAAAAGATGTCCTAAATACTTACCTTCAGAGGGATAAACTTGAACAATGTCTTCAGATTCACTTAAGATAGAAAAATCATCCTCATAGTAGCTCTCTGATTCAGATCCATCACATATATTTGGACTCTCTAAGCAAGAAAAAAAAATGAATTTCATACCTACATCCATTTCCACTAAAAACACAAAAATTAATTTGATTTAAAATTATTTTCTAGAATTTTATGTTCCCCAAAAAATGATTTCCAAAATAATATTTTTATTTATTTGTATAATGCTGTAAAGTTAGTTAATGACACCCACTTTTTCAATAGGATATTTTAACAAGAATTATTTTCTCTCAAATACAAATGAAATTTCATACCTGTGGTTAATGAACCTCATTTCACCAAAACTTATTTTCCAGTTTACTTCTTAATTGAAACATTTTTTTAATATTAACATAATATTAAGCTGATCTTTTAAAAATGTTCCTATCTAATTGATACTTTCAATTTGGTTAAGTTATAATTTACCTTTTGAGAAAGTGGGAAAATGAAATAAAAAAAATCAATAAATAAAATAATAATAATAATAAGGAATAATAAAAAACAAAGAAAAAGAAATACATTTTCTCATGATGCTAAGAGTAAAGGAACTGAAAATATTATTACCCAACTTGTTTTCAAAAAAAACATTGTTAGGTGGTGTTGTTGAAGCCTATAAAAGAGGCAAACATTTCCTAACTCTCTCTCTTTTTTTGCTCTTTGCTCTAAAATGTGAACCACGTGGTAACTACCTTCCCACTGGTGAGCGTTAGTTTCTCCAATCCACTGATGACTGAATTCTCTTCCCACTTTCTCCACACATGGCACTCACACATATTTTCCAAAAAACTCAAGCTAAGAGGTAAGTCAAGGTTTCTGGTTGTTTCAACTCAGCACAAGGATGACTTGAGTGCGACCAGAGAAACAATGCTTGTACTGACTTACCCTATCTTCTGGACCAAGACAAAAAAAAAAAAAAAAAAAAAAAAAAAATGTTTAACCTTCCAACAATAAAGTCAGTAGAAATATTCCTTTGGTTGTTCCAACTCTGCGCAAGGCTGACTTGAGCTCAACCATGAATATGACAATTATACTTAGCAACCCTAACTTTCAGAAGTTAGTGTTGCTAAGTATAATTGAAAAGCAAACATACTGAAGAGACATTGAGAACTTTGTTTCACTATAAGCAACATAAAAGAAATAAACATGTGTAGTAGAAACTCAAGTTTTGTATGCTTCTATTTTCTTTGTTTACATATTGAAGACACACCCATATAGAATACACATAAACATGCAACCTGTTAACCTCCATAAAACCTATAGCAATTATTTTCTATTCGTTATGATCTTTTCAAAATACAGTTCAGATGAAAGGAATCAGTTTATTTTAGATTCATTTTCTTTTTAAAAAGTTGTTCATAATCAAGAGCAAACAAGTTTCTTTCAATTGGACAAAAAGATTCTTATTTTAAAAATGTGATAAATTGAAGGAGTTTCTACATCCCTTATATTCCCATTTAAAACTAACTTTTATAATAAAAAAATTTAAACTGAAAAATGACTTTGGATTAAAATCAAACTTAATGTTAATATTAGTTGTTTCATTTTTGTTTTCATTTAAAAATGAAAACTGAAATCAGATGACGATTTTATCAAAATTTATTTTTTACTATTAATAAATTCAATTACAAAGTCATTGTTATTTGTACAAGTAACTAAAATCTGGTTAAAAAAGCTCAAAATTCTTTTAAAGTTTACAAGAAACAAAATAATCTCATTAACTTTGACAAATAATAGCTTCCTACCTTCTGATGTGTCGAGTAAGGACTCAGTTAAACCATAAATTTCTCTTGTGCTTTGTTCAGTGTTTAGTGAGGAGCCATCATCAGAGTGTTCACAGGGACCACCTCCAGCTGGGAGAGAAAATAAGACACTTTGCAAAAGACTACAAGCAAAGGCATACATATGACTTCATGCAATGATCAGTACAGAACATGTGATTCTCCAAGACATATTACATTAATTAGCTAAAAACAAAAACTTTCTAAAAGATGATTGCAATAAAAGAAACTTCATGTTTAAATAAATTATAAATGAAGCTCTAACATTTTATTATTCTTTATTTTTGATACTAAATAGAAAACTTTAAGCTTTAACAACTTAGAATGCTTTAAAAATATGTCAAAGTGCATAAGATTTTTAAAGGAAAGAACTGAAATGTAAATTACTGTGCTATTTGCAAAAAGACTGAGCATTAATGTCAAATAATTTTCTTTTTAAAATATGTTTGTATTTGTTATTAAGCTTTCAAATTTTGATGTTGCACTTGTTGAAAATTATTGATAAACTGTAAAGATTTTGCCTTTAAACTTATAAAGGGGAAGTTGGATCTTTGGTTATTGCCAAAATGAATGAAATAAAAATTGTTTAATTGACAAAAACAAATTCAACAAATTTAATTCACATCAAAGAAAAATGAAAATATTTACCTGTTGTAGGGATGCGACACTTAGCAGTGAAAACAGCCCCAGAGCAACCCTTGGCAAGAAATGAAAGAGGTTCAACATCATCCCAAGATTTAGGGATTTGAATATTTTCATCTGTACATTCCTCACCACTTGTGTCTTTTAGGGTCTCCTAAATAAAATAAAAGTTCATTATTTCTATCAGTCAAACAGAAGTCTATTAATGAATATTTAGCTATACTGATCTTGTACAAAGAAAAATGTGCTGGATTGCTATATGCTATCCATAGTTTTATATGTGAGTGAATGCTGAGCACTCTCCCCACGGATGAGGAAAAAACTGGAGGCAACAGAGATGTAGTTCTATAGAAGAATTTCAGCTGTCTTTTCCTGATTCTGAATATTTTTTCTGTTGCCATTTTCATTAAGGCTTCCTTGTTGCTTACTCACTCTATCCATGGAATTTTCAGGAGTGAGTAAGCAACAAGGAAGCCTTAATGAAAATGGCAACAGAAAAAATATTCAGAATCAGGAAAAGACAGCCGAAATTCTTTGGACACTGTGGGGAAAATTGTGAAAATGGCCTACCTCGGAAACGCCTGTGAATCTGTGCGGTGTGCAAAACTCCAGTTCTCCAGCGGTAAAAGGAACCAAAATGGCGGCGCCCATATTTTATGCCGGGCGGTCTCGGTTAGTTAACGCACAATCTCGTTGTCTTGTCATTCGCATGCAAATCGTGGTCGGTCCTCGGCTGTATAAAGCAGGCACGTTTTGCTGTTTCGGATCAGCAGGCTTTTGGCTCGTGGGAAGATTGGACGTGCGACACCAGGGTTTTTTTTTTGGTTACCCTCCTCACGGTTCTTTGTTCCTACCTACTATTATCAGTTTTAGTTGTGTTATTTCCCACAAAGTATTTCAGCGATGGACAAGTTCGATCTAAAATTGATCCCAGAATTCGATGGCTCCCCCACGGGCCCGACTGTCGTCGAATTGTTTAAAAAGGCCGAACGTGTTTGCAGGGTGTCCAAAATAAAGGAACCTGCACTGGTCATCCCACTGAGACTCACGGGGGGAGCCTACGCCGTATATCAACAACTCAGGGACGATGCTGACCTAGAAGAGATCAAGGGCGCCCTATGTAGCACAGGATTTCTCGGGAAACGAGTCCGGGGACAAGGTGCTGTCGCAACCCTTGCCCCCTCTCGATCAGTAAATGTGGCACTGCCTGTTGTCAACATGTGCGTTGAGGGTAAACGATGTTCGGCGCTCGTTGACACTGGATGTTCCCGATCGATCATTAGTGCGGATCGATGTGTCACATGGAGCAGTCAACAAATCGAGATTCGGACGATTGACGGAGTGTCCCGGGCCTGTTGTGGTGTCAGGACTGTATCAATCCTCACAGACGGAGGGAATCATGCCAAGGTCGACATTTTGGTGGCACATCAAAGGCCCCTCGGTTACGACCTACTGCTTGGGATTGATGCGATCCGAGCATTAGGAGGCATGATAATCACGCCAGCTGGAAATGTGAAACTGGGTAAAGGAAGAAAGGTGTGTGCAGCCCTTTGCATTAGTGAGCCGGATTTCGACGTCTCTTTCAATACTGACAAAAGGGTGTGGACCGCCAGGTGGAAATGGGCCCAAAAAGACCCACCAGTTCAGCTTCCCAACAAGGTCGCAGAGTACAAAGTTCCCGACAGCATCAGAGGAAAATACGAGAAAGAGCTTCAACAGTGGATTGTGAACGGCTGGTTGATTCCGTACCCCCAGGAAAGATTGGGACCCCCAAAGGGTCTGATTCCCTTGATGGCAGTCGTGCAGGAGCAGAAACAAAAGGGGCATCTGGTACTCGATTACCGCGAATTGAACGACTTTGTGGATGCTTTTACTGCCAATGCAGAAGTGTGCGCACATAAGTTGAGAACGTGGCGGCAGCAGGGGGTCAATGTGTCGCTTCTGGAACGCATATCTTCAGATTCACATCGACGAAACGCTGTGGCCATTTCAAACAGTTATTTTCAAAGGCCAATGCTTCTGTCTTACGCGTCTAGGATTTGGGCTAAATGTAGCGCCACTCATTATGAAATCCGTTATAGACGCCATCGCATTGCAAGACCGCACAATTGAAAGTGCCACATCAGCATACATTGATGATATTTTCATTAATGAAAGTTTGGCCTCTGCATCGCATGTAAGACAACACTTTTCGGATTACGGTTTGGTGTGCAAAGATCCGGTGCGACTGAGAAATGGAGCTTGCAAGTTTGGGAAGAAAATGTCACCCTCTGATGGAAACGAAGAAGTCAAATTCCGGAAGTCCCTGATGTGTTGACCTGGCGGCACGTATTTTCATTGTGTGGGAAACTTGTTGGACATTTCCCCGTGTGTGGATGGCTCAGGGTGGCAGTTGCATTCGTCAAGCGCCTGGCAACCGCAGCAACCAATGCATGGGATGATAACATCAAAGATCCCTCTCTCTGTTGCATACTAGTGGAGATGTTAAGTAGAATGCGGGAACTGGATCCCTTTGGAGGAGACTGGTGCATGAGTGGTGACGAGATCACAGTCTGGGTGGATGCGAGTTCCGTGGTGACAGGAGTGGCATTGGAAGCGAACGGAAATGTCATCGAAGATGCATGTTGGCTGCATCTGACTAATGATGCCAGGCATATTAATTTAGCTGAACTCGATGCAGCGCTTAAAGGAGTGAATCTAGCTCTCCAGTGGGGGGCGACAACATTGCACTTAGTTACTGATTCGGCATGTGTGCACCGGTGGATTTTCGACACCTTGACACAAGGGCGGCTGGCGAGATGCTGTTTAGACGACGGCTGGGGATTTTGCGGTCGCTGGTGGAAGAATATGGATTGACCATAGACGTGACACTCGTACAGTCCTGTCAGAACCGTGCGGATCGCCTCACCAGAGTACCGCACAGGTGGCTAGAACTGCTCAAAAGAGAGGTGAACTGGCACTCGAGAGCTGTGCAGTGGTAGGGAGACGACTGGACGAGGACCAGGTGGCCAATACCCATCGTCAAAGCGGACATCTGGGCGTGAAACGAACTCTGTACTTCGCCAGGTTAGTCGACCCGCAGGTGTCCAGAGAAAGTGTTAAATCCGTTGTGAAGGCCTGCACAACCTGTCAGTCGATCAATCCGGCACCCGTTCACTGGGAATGAGGAGAACTGAGTGTGAAGAGCAACTGGAGCAGACTAGCGATGGACATAACTCACTACAATGGTGAGAATTTTTTAACGCTTATTGATTGCGGTTCCTCCAGGTTTGCAGTATGGCGGCTGCTGCGCAGACAAGACGCAAGCACCGTCATTCGACTGTTGAAGAATGTTTTCCTGGAGCGAGGCCCACCCATGGAAATACTGACCGACAACGATACTGCATTCACTAGTAGGGACTTTAAAAAATTTGCGGACAATTGGGACGTGCATCTGCGGTTTCAATGTGCTTACTCGCCGAGTGGAAATGGCATCGTGGAGCGAAACCACAGAACCATCAAGACCATCGCAGCCAGGAAGGGCTGTACAGTATCGGAGGTGGTTTACTGGTATAATGTTGCCCCGAAAGATAACGTTTCACCCTCCACGGTGCCAGCTGATGCACTGCACAAATATCATGTCCGTGTGAAAGGCATCGAAGCCAACCCACTGCCTGAACTAGAAGTGACTGGAGGTAGATTGAAAAAAGGAGATGTTGTTTGGGTCAAAAACCCACACGCAAGTGTACGACAAAGTACGGCACTGGACGTGTTACGAAGGTGATCAGCCTGCAATCTGAGAGTTGATGGGGTGCCTCGTCACATTAAAGACTTGCGACCGGTGATGCAATCACTACCGTTACTGAGCGATGAAAGTGATTCCGAGTCTGAGAGTAGTGAGTGTTCGATCTGCCTGGTGTTAGACCTGCAGGGCAGTGATTCTGATAACAGCAGCCTACCGGCGGACACAGTGCTTACCGATACTCAAACCACGCGACGATCGCCACCTCCTTGCCCTGTTTGTGATCATGAGATCAAGGGGGAGTGTGTGGAAAATTGTGAAAATGGCCTACCTTGGAAACGCCTGTGAATCTGTGCGGTGTGCAAAACTCCAGTTCTTCAGCGGTAAAAGGAACCAAAATGGCAGCGCCCATATTTTATGCCGGGCGGTCTCGGTCCTCGGCTGTATAAAGCAGGCGTGTTTTGCTGTTTTGGGTCAGCAGGCTTTTGGCTCGTGAGAAGGTTGGACGTGCGACACCGGGGCTTTTTTTGGTTACCCTCCTCACGGTTCTTTGTTCCTACCTGCTATCATCAGTTTAGTTGTTGTGTTACTTCCCACATGAAGAGGGCTTGGAAAACTTAACCCTCACAGGTCATATTGAGGGCAAGAGAGATTGGGGAAGGTTGTGAATCACTTAAGTGACGAGCTTGTGTGAAGGGATGGTGGAACAGGAGTGGAGACTTAGGAAAGAGTGAAAAACTGCTAAGGGCCACAAGTGATAGGAAGTTGTTCTGAAAGGGGACATCACATAGAAAATCTTGTTTAAACTTGATTTTAATGAACATGTATACATATATAATTTGATTATATTGAAGAAATTAGTAAATTATTCAGAAATAAACCAATAAGCATCGAACACCATATATGAGAAGTTGTCAATGTCCATCAAACAATTCAGATTATCATATTAATGATTGTAAAAATTGGTCCCAAATTATTTCATCAGTTCTATAAAATGACAAGGATTAAAACATCAACCATAGAAAAGGATGCTGGAATTATAATGTCAAAAATATATGCAGGTAATTTGGTCACTAATTTATTTAATCTCAATGATACTAAATTATTTGGTAAGCCTTTAAATACTTTCAAAAATTGCACATTATGAACTGATTACAGAAATATTTTTCTTTTTGAATAAACCAAAAAAACTATATTCATAATTTTTGTAGTATTCCAACTTTTAACAATTGTTAATTTACATTTATTTTGCCATTTAAGATAGTATGATTGCCTGTATATGCAATTATTATAAACAATTTAGTACAAAAATATCAGATACTAAACAATGAATATTTTTTTCAAAGAAGAGAAGAATGAAAAAGGTATTTTTATTGCCACAATAAAAACTTTATGTCAAATGTTTTATTCTAATTCCCTTGGGGTAGAGAGAT